CTCTGTGTTCTGGACCACGGAGGCATGGTTCAGATGTGTGGGGAGGTCTATCCTCTCTCTCTCTCTCTCTCCAGGATTAATATGATGTAATGAACGGACATTGTCAGGAATTTTGAGTTTGCAAGTGCACATAAATTTTGAAATCCATTTTTAAATTTAAATGATGATAACGAGATTGAAAGCTTGAGAAAAGATACGTTTACTCTCCTGTGCATGATTTGTTATTTATTTCTTTCCTGTGTGGAATTGTGTAATGAGAACAAATCTCCTCCTCCTCCTCCTCCTCCTCCTCCTCCTCCTTATGTCCTCCTCCTTTGCCTGCTCTGCTGATATTGCAGCAAGTATAGCAGGACTTATTGAGTTACATTGTTCGAAGCATTCAAAAGCTGAAGACGAGCACCGTGCTTCTGTAGTTGTGACGTTGTGAATGATGGTTCTCTCTTTGAGTGTACTGCACCTTTGGGGGAGAGGTGAGGGGGGAAGCGGGGGCTATTGGTTGATGGATAATACTCTCTCGCTGTGTTCGAGGAGTGGATGTCATTGGTAGGTCGTTTCATGTACTGCACGTTTGGGGGGGGAGGGAGCGCCCTGCTGGGAGTAAGAGGGAGGAGCAGAGAAGGGGGGATGGGGGGAAGGGGGGAGAAGGGGGTTGGGAGGTTTTTCGGCCAACTCTAACCCATTACTTGAATTGGATGAGAATGGTTGGAACTTGGAAATCAACACCAATTTGTTACAGTTGGATTACAGCACTGCATCCTGGTTGTTTATGGGATCTGTTTGCTCTCCTTGGCGGCTTTTGCTTCCACGATCCTTCCTTGCCCCTCAACGCCCGTCCTCTTCTGAACACCCCTTCTCCCCTCAACACCCCTCCTCCCCTTTGTTCTCTCCTTTCGGCAGGCAATACTGCATGTATGATTCAGCCCGAATCGGGTTTCACAATGGTGTGAAAGGTGGAGGCCATATAGTCTTTTGTCTGTACCTGTCTAAGAATATCATTCAGGTTGCGAACTTCTGAGCCACTTTTTTTTTTTTTTTTTTTTTTTTTTTTTTTTTTTGAACCCCCCTATGAGTACAAGCCTGGAAGGTGAAGTGGGCCAGTGGTCCCCACTGTAGACTGTAGCCACACATAGCCTATGGACTGTTTTGACATCCAGTGATCCCCACTGTAGAACATAGCCTATGGATTGTTTGGCCTAATGGACTGTTCTCACATCCAGTGATCCCCACTGTAGACTGGAGCCATATATAGGCTGTGGATTGTTTTCACATATGGATTGTTTTTTTTTCACATCCAGTAATCCCCACTGTAGGCTGGAGCCATACATATTACATAGCCTATGGATTGTTTTCACAAACAAGGCTATGGATTGTTTTCACAAACAAAGAGAAGGAAATCATGGCAGCTAGGTAACCAGTGTTTCCTAGGCTTTTTTATGAAACAAAGTCAATAAAGTTTCTGGGTGGTAGGAGCAACTGAATGTTGTTTTCTTAGGGGGGGGTGGTGCAAACCTTGCAGAATTGGAGGGCATAATGTTGTTTTCCTGGCCGGTTGCTATGTCGGGAATGCGAGTCGGGAGTGAGCACCAGCACTACATTTGTTTGGGCGAGCCGCATCACTGTGCCAGCTTTTGCCACGTCACTCCTCTACCGCTACTGCTGGAGCCTGTCTCCATCACTTGCAGATGCTATTGCTATCTCCAAGTCTATAACACAGCATAAAACCAGTCTTGACATCTGCGGAGACCAGCTGACGCGAAGCAAGACGCAAACTGCTTGAAAATGTTGACGTCGACCTGCCAGCTCGCCCTTGCGCGAGGTGTTCCCCCAGACACAGCAGCAACTCTCTCTGGCAGCATCGTTGCTGACTCGTGGCGGGAGTCAGGAGGAGCTGTCTGCTTGTGTCCCCACGGACGAAAAGCCGGGTCTCATGTACCATGGTGGTTGGTCGCGTCGGCAAGGCTGAGGCTGAGGCTGAGTAGATCCCACACTGGACTGTATTCTTCCAGCAGTACTGGTCCTTTCGGCAGAACCAAGTCGTTGTTATGGCCGTCAGCTAAGGTGGGCCCAGTTCCGAATGGTCCCACCTTGGAGAAGAAACGGGAAAGTTCGCCACTGTGTTGCTGTACCAGGTGTGGAGACTTTGAAGGACCAACAAGGTTCCAACGCTGTCTGTATAAGACACGTTGCAAAAGCTTTGACATCGACTCCCAGTCGCGGTCAAGGCCACTGTTACCTTGTCGCCAAGTGAGGGCGTCGTGTTCGCATCAGGATGATAAGGTCGGCAGCTCACTGGAAATGAGTGATGTTGAAGACGAAGATGAAGGCGACTATGACGGCGTAGTACTATCGTCTGTCGATGAGCTCGATCTTGAAGCGCAGTTTACTGTTGAGCAGCATAAGCGAGATCTCTTGCGCAGCTTCGAAGAAGATGATAAAGAGCAAATCGACGATACGAGACGAAGGGGACGGAAAGGGGACCGGAAGGGGAGGAGTCAACAACATCGAGATGAAGGCGGAGGTGGAATGCAGATCCCAGAGCGTTTGCTTCCACGGGTAGCAATTGTAGGGCGACCAAATGTGGGCAAATCGGCACTATTCAACCGGATTGTCGGGGGCAACCAAGCAATTGTCCATAATGAGCCGGGGGTGACAAGGGATCGCTTATACCGCCGTGCATTTTGGGGATCGCACGAATTCCTCGTCGTTGACACTGGTGGAATCATCAACACAGACGTAGCGGAGGAGGGTGTGGCGGTTGGAATCAAGGGCGGGAACGACACCCTCGTGGCTGCGGTTAGAGATGCTTCAAGGTCAGGTCTTCCTTCAATGATCGAAAAGCATGTGGCAATCGCTGTGGAAGAAGCAGCGGCAGTGATTATGGTGGTTGATGGGCAGGCCGGTTTGATTGGCTCCGACATAGAGATTGCTTCGTGGTTGCGTCGGAAACACCCTGGCAAGCATGTGACGCTTGGCGTCAACAAATGTGAATCCCCAACGAAGGGATTACTGCAGTGTACGGAATTCTGGTCGCTCGGCTGGACACCATTTCCAGTCTCAGCAATCACGGGGAGCGGCACTGGGGATTTTCTTGACGACTTGTGCTCAGGCCTCGTCAAGCAGGAAATTCTGGAGGGAGCGGATGCGGGTCAGGATAGCGAAGACGAGGACAGGCCACTGGGGATTGCAATTGTTGGCCGACCAAATGTCGGGAAGAGCAGCATTATGAATGCGATATTGGGAGAGGAGAGAACGATCGTCAGTGCAATGAGCGGAACAACGAGGGATGCCATTGATATGGAATTCACATCTACGGATGGCAAGTCATATCGGCTGATAGACACAGCAGGCATAAGACGAAGAGCGGCTGTGGCGACCGCAAAGAGCAGAGCCGAGGCTCTCTCCATTCAGAGGGCATTTCGCGCCGTGCGAAGAGCGGACGTTGTTGCACTGATCATTGATGCGAAAGAAGGGGTCACGGAGCAGGATGGCAGGCTTGCGAATCGAATCGAACAAGAGGGAAAGGCTTGTGTCATCGTCATGAATAAATGGGACACTGTGCCCGACAAAAACTCCAATACGATCAACCGGTACACTGACGCTGTCAGACTACATCTGTCGCAGCTGGACTGGGCACCCATCGTGTACACGAGTGCAACGAGCAATCAGCGAATACCGAGGATTCTAGAGGCAGCAGACCAAGTTGGTGCCGAGAGGTGCAAACGTCTCACGACAGCAACGCTGAACGCAATTACGCAAGAAGCATATGCATTCAAGCAGCCTCCAACGATGGCCGGGAAGAAAGGACGCATTTACTACTGCACGCAGGCCGCGATTCGCCCACCGACGTTTGTGTTCTTTGTGAACGACTCCCAACTTTTTCCAGATGCGTATCGAAAATATATGGAGAAACAACTGCGCGCGAATGTCGGATACCATGGCACACCGATACGGCTGTTGTGGCGAAGCAAGCGTCGTGATCCCGATCGGATAGCAGCAAGAAGTCGTGCAGCTGCACGGAGTTAGAAAGAGCATAGACCTCCAGAGGTCTTTGCAGCGGCATGGAGTTCGAGAGAACATAGACCTCCAGAAGCTGCGTAGCGGCACGGAGTCGAGAGCATAGACCTGTGACTCATACGAAGAGGAGAACCTCTCCAAGATGAAACCCTGCAAAAGACCAAAAACAAAACAAAAAAGGAAAAAAGTGGTTTGCCTGTCCCACTAGTCGAGTGGGGGTAGAGTGGGGTGGGTTCTTGCCCCTTCCGACAAATGCAATGAGAAGGATGGGGTGATAAGATAGACAAGCAGGCTCAGCGAAATCCAACGTCGGGGCAGTCGTGCATCATCAATCGGTTGTGGTATTATGGGGGGTCAAATGAAATCCAACCTGAGGGCATACTCACACTAGGACTTTCTTAAATGTTGCAGTCAGACATGGATGAATCTGACTTCCAAGACATCCACATCCAAAGCTTATTAGAAAAAGTCCTAATGTGAAAGCCATGCCCTGATTATGGCATGTATATGGGTCACCTCTGCGCGTTTGCGTGTCTTTTCTGCTCATATGCTTCAGTTTCTTGTTTTTAACTTTTTTTTGCCGACCCCTATAGTAGATGTGCGCTTGTTACAGTAGCTGCTGCTC